ACTCTCCTGGCAGTGTCTTTACTCAAAAAAACTGGTGATTATTACAACAGTCAACCTAAGCAAGACTGAAAGGATCTAAGTTTATTATTGGTCAAAAGTGAAGCTTTTAACCAATAAATCCACTAGAATACAAGGCAGGCATGTACTTACAGTAGTGTTGGGAGCTGTGAGTCGAGTGATTTACTGTTTGACCAGAGCCCCACACGTCACCTTTCGGGGGGGGGGGGGGAAGAGGGAGGGGAAGGGATAGCCGGAGCTAGATTGACCCTACGTTAACAAGCAGCCGGCAATCAAACTATCACTTTATGGGTGGGGGAGAAAAGGCGGGAAAAACGGGAGCGTGACTTACCCTACCTTAACTAGTAGCCGGTAATGCAACTATCGTTACTATATCTCTACTTCTATCTATTGAACTTTTCCCTCACAGTGTTACATTCAGAGTCTTGTTCTTTGGTACCAGTTGTTAATGTGATTTCCCGTGATCTCTTCCAGTGAGCGTCCACGAGTCTCTGGAAGAGCAGCAGCGCTGACAAAGGTTATCAATGCACTGGCACCACTAAAGAGCCAGAAAGTCCCGTGTTCACCAAGTGCTTCTACTGTCATGGGATAGATATAAGTTGATATAAATGCTCCACAATTTAGTGAAAGCGATAACACTGGCTTTCCAATAGATCGACATGTTATAGGCAGAAGTTCTCCATTCAATATAAATATAGCAGGTTGGCCAATGCCGAAAAAGAAGACAAATATCATTGCTGCTGTAAGAGGTATCCATCCCATACCACTAACATTTGCTGTCTTATGTATGTAAAAGTATACACCATAAGTAGCCATACACACCGAGCACAAAGAAAAAGAAACTATGATCAATAGTTTGCGTCCCAGACGATCAATTACACAGAGATGAACTAAATTTCCAAAAACTCTCACAACGTAAAAAATGATGGCACTGATGTATGGATCAAGGGTGGAGTCCACTGTCTGGAAAATGGGCACTGAATAGGACATTATTACATAACTCCCACTAGTACTTGTCAAGAGAGTTAAAACAGTCAATAACAAGAACACGCGAGCAGTTGATGGTTCAAACAGCAGCCGCACTTGTTGCCATGACTTGTCTAGTTTCTTATCTACAGTGCTAATTTGTTGAATGATTTCCTGAAATTCTGGCCCAGAGTCGTAATGTTTACCTCTCAAAAAAAGAAGAGCTTTCTGAGCTTCGGTAAAACGATCCTGAGTGACGAGCCAACGAGGAGAGTTAGGCAGTAAGATGAGGCAAAAGAAAGGAAGTGCAGACACTCCGCAACAAACGAAGCCCATTTGTCGCCAGTCGAGCTTAGAAACTCCTAAAGAAGACACCATTAGAAGTCCCATTAACCTAGCTAAGGAAATGATTCCAGAAAGAATTCCACGAATGTTGTTATGAGCAATTTCGATGGTATATAGGTAGGTAGCGGTAAAGACGATGCCATCGATAATACCCAGAATGGCGCGACTAGTTAAAAGAAGCCAGACAGTTGGAGAAAGAGCGAGGCTGAGCCATGAAGCCACAGTGATGGGCAGGGTCACCAGGAGAGACACTCGACGACCAAGCTTCACTAGTAGTGGTCCACTCACACAACTCCCAACAGCTGCTGCCAGGTATCCCAGGCTTCCTGTAATTAAGAGTTTTATAAACATTAACATTTAAATATATTGCAATCAACAAAACAAAAATGTTTATATATGGTATAGCAAATATGACAGTAGCTTCTGAAAATGTTAGAATTTCCAAACCAGACAGCGTGTATGTACGACATATGCCAACTTTTTTATCCTGTTTCTAAAGACTATTTTTCTACAGAATGTTTTTAGAAAGTTAAGTGGAAGAGGCAAGATCCATACATAGCTTTGTGAAAAAGTACGATTAGACTCTCGAAGCCAGAAGAGCATGAACCTAATAGCGCCTAGTAAAGAGACGGGCCCAGGAGCCGAGATGCAACTCCTGCAACCACATATGAGTACACATACTTCTACATGCCATGCTAAGACAAATCCGACATCCGTCCGTTTCGAGATGCGACCGGTCGGTCGGAACGTAACTCGGACGTAAGTCCGATCTTCACGATACAGAACAAGCCACATGGGGATGTAAATTTTTATAACTAGATCTTTCGCACTCTCGTGCGCCCTGAGAAGCTATGCAATTTTGCAAGACAGCAACAGATAGTGATGGGGAGGGGGAGAGTTTCCTTGAGGCAAGGTATCAATGGCGGCCAGTGACACAGAGTGTGGACAGCCACTGACCAAGACACCTACCTTCCTGTTCCCTCACACACTTCCGGGATAAGGGGAAGTGGATGACCTCAGGGGTTTACAGAAAGCAATTTACAGAACATTAAGGTAACCCAGTTGTCAGCCCAAAACCGTCTCTAACCGATATCAACTGATCTACTGCCATATGCAATCATTTTTACCTACCGTATTTCGCGGCTTAAAAGACTTGTTTTAGTTTCAATGGCTCGGCATCGGACGTAACTGGGAGAGCTACAGCCCACCCCACACCCCAGACTTATAGCTCCTGTCACTGACCTTCAGTTTATAGGACGCAGGGTGGTTTTTGGAGATATTTTATGGAAAAAAATGCGTCTAATAAGCCGCGAAATACACCCAGACATTCAAGATATATGTAACATTGCATTATTATATGAATGACGTCTCGGACTCAGTACTGCGTTTCCTTAATATTCTGTAACTTACCTTCTGTACGGTGGCCCGTGGCCTGGTGGCAAAAGCTCTCGCTTCACACGGTGAAGGTTTGGGTTCGATTCCCAGCAAAGGGGTGGAAACATTGGGCGTGTTCCTTACACCGGTTGTCCATGTTCACCCATCAGTAATAATGGACACCTGGGTGTTAGTAGATTGGTGTGGGTCGCATTCTGAGACAAAACTGGCCTAATTTGCCGGATATGCTCGGCAAAACAAACGACTTTCTTTATAACACTATGTCATTGATGTCAGCTAGGCCTGTATACCTTGTACATGTACTTGTAGAAATAAAGATATTATGATTATTATTAAACCTCTGTGGTGCACTAGGTCCCTTTGCCCAGGAAGGGTGCGAAGGGACGGTAAATAAGTGATGGGGTCTGTTGTGGCCCTCACAGATACCATCTGTCATGCCTCAGAGAATTTCCCCCATCCCCGTATCCCTCTGCTGTCTTGCAACATTGCATATCTCCTGAAGACGAGAGAGTGCAAAAAATCTTGAGATTGTGACAAAAAAGGAAAACTCATGGAATTCTACTATTTTTTTACAGTGGTTGCTCTGTAAAAGACAAATCTCGTCTCCTGGAAGTGAAGGCACCACACTCAGGAGATTTCCTGTTAGCTGTTCCCAATTCCTCCCTGGGCACCCGTCTCGACCCACAGGCCATTCGGATTGGTGTTGCTCTTCGCCTAGCATCCCCCCATCCTCACCGAACATAGATGTATTTGCGGCAGGGCGACAGCTGATCAATTCGGACTTCATGGTCTCGTGTGTCACACAGCAGAAGGGAAGTATGCCAGACATGAGGAGGTCAATGACATCATAAAGAGAAGCCTCGCCACAGCCCGTTGCCCAGCTCAACGCGAACCCCAAGAACAGAGGTCTGATGGAAGTCAAAAGCGTCCTGATGGAGCCACTATGCTACTCTGGAAGGATGGAAAGCGGATTGCCTGGGACTACACCTGTGCCGCCACATTGGCAGACACCTACTTGCCATACTCCGTAGTGGAAGGGGGTGGAGCTGCCAGCCACATGGAGACCCAGAAGATCCAAAAATATGAAGACCTTACCCCCTTGCTATAACTTCATCCCAATAGGGTCGGAGACCCTTGGAGCATGGGGCAAGTGTGCTCTAAAGTTCCTCAGAGCTGGGTGAAAAGCTCATCATAGAAACCAAGGACCACAGGGCGACCAGCTTCCTCTTTCAGAGACTCAGTGCTGCGATCCAGAGAGGAAATGCCTGCAGCATTCTGGGCACGCGGCGCACCGCAGGGGCGCTGGACGAAGTATTCGAGATGTAGCTCTGAGTTACCTATGTTGTTTTACTTTCTATTGTATTTTTGTGAATGTTTGGCCAATGTATTTTGTCTTTAAATAAAACATACTTGAAATAGAGGGGTGGTAGGAGAAAATTCTCAAACAGATTCAGGAAGAACCTTGAGTTTTCCCTGAAGCAAGTTTATTCTTTTCTCTGAGGATGAGGGTCCCCAGAACAGTTCTAGAGATGGTACCTCCCTATATATATATATATATATATAATATATATATTATAATATATAAAAATATATATATATATATATATATATATATAATATTATATAATATATATATTGTCGTGCCGAATTTTGTATTAAAGATATATTTTTTTTATTAATGTTAATGTATAAATTTTTAATTTTGCTCCAAAAGAATCTTAGAAAACTTACCTAACCTTATTATAACAAGAGCAATTTATTTTAGCCTAACCCAAATAAATATATTTTAAATACTTTTACAATAATTTAGTACTAAACAAACACAATCAAATATATTTTTTTTTGTTAGGGTTTAGAATGATTTTGGCGAAATTATTGCATACACAAATTTTCACTTGTCCTATATGGCAAGATGAGCGTTGCTATTTAAGCCAAGATCGCAAGTTCTGCCTATTCGGCACGACATATATATATATATATATATATATATAAATATTATATATATATATATATATATATATATATATATAATATTATATATATATTATATATATAATATATATATATATAATATATATATATATATATATATTTGAAAAGCAACAGTAAATTAGAGCTTCTTTTTCTTCCTTGTTTACCTACCATTCTCTAGGCGCTGTATGACAATTCTGTGCCTATTCTTTCTCCGTGAAAATAATACTAATAATTCATACCAAAGAAGGCTGTTTGTGACTGGTTTAGGAAGAGGTCGTTTGTCTGCGGGTCAGTGAGCTGTGGCAGCGTGATGCCCGAGAATGCCAGTAGGGCGCCAGTATTTACTTGCATAAGTGCCATTACCAGTGTTGCAAACACCTGTGGGAAGAGAGGCGTGATAGTTATACTTATACAAGAACTTTTTCATTATAAGAACTCGGACTTTAAGTTCAGCAAAAAAAAAAATAAGATTAAAAAGACGTCATTATACTGGAAAACTTTGAGAACTCTTCCTATATGCAAAAAAACAATAATGAGCCAGATACTGAGGAAACATGCAGAAATGTCATTAATTTACTGAATAGAACTCAGCTGACACACACGCCAGGATATTTCAGTAGAATTATATATTTTAACTTTTTAACAGCTATTTATATAGAAGCTGCAAACTAGACAGAATATATATATATATATATATATATATATATATATATATATATATATATATATATATATATATATATATATATGTCGTGCCGAATATGTAAAACTGGTCAATTAGCAAGAACTCATTTAAAATTAAGTCCTTTCTAAAAATTTCTCTTATACGTTTAAAGATATATTTTTTTCATTAATGTTAATGTAAAAATTTTAATTTTGCACCAAAAGAATCTTAGAAAACTTACCTAACCTTATTATAACAAGCGCAATTTATTTTAGCCTAACCCAACAAAATATATTTTATATTTGTTTACAGTAATTTAATACTAAAAAAGCATAGTGAAATATATTTTTCTCGTTACATTCAGGATGATTTTGGCGAAATTACTGCATACACAAATTTTCGCTTGTCCTATATGGCAAGATGAGCGTTGCTATTTAAGCCAAGATCGCAAGTTCTGCCTATTCGGCACGATATATATATATAATATATATAATATATTATATATATATATATATATAATATATATATATATATATAATATTATATATATATATATATATATATATATATATATATATATATATATATATATATATTATGTATATATATATATTATATACAATATATATATACATTGTCCCATAGTATATACAACAATATATGTAAATATACAGTATAGTAATGTTCTGTAGTTAATATTTCTCAAAACCAGTGAACGCTTGATGGGCAATATTTCAGTGTTTGATACATTTCTCCCTTCAAGGGAATGGCTTTCTGCCGGTGGATGGCTCCTCATCCAAGGAATTTTAGCTACTTTCCATTTCCTTAGATGAAAAATGATCTTTAATTTTCATACAAACAAGCAAAGAACTCCCACTACACTAACTCACGCAGAGGAATCTTTAAACCATGTTTTGGTCTCTTCTGCTCCATTATCAGGACAGAGAAACGTTGTCTAAATTTAGGTCAGTTTGGGTTAATTGCAACATAGTGCTGACAAGTAGAATACATAGAGATATCTGAGCAAGTGATTAAAACAATGAGGGTCGGCGCCTGTTGGGTGTGCACTGCAAGCCCAGTGCGTCATAGTACAACGTCCTATAGCAAATTTCATCAGGAACTACCAGGAGGGTGTCAAAAGTGCACTCATTGTTGGCAAAGCCGACCTCCTCCAACAGCCCTTCATCCGTCGAGGGTTGGGCACCCACTTCGGGATCGATGGCCCGAAGTGGGTGCCATTTTCAAAGGGACACCGTACAAAAATGTCTATTCCAAAGGGACAACGTACAAAAGTATCTATGCCAAAGGGACAACGTACACGCATTCCATTTCCAAACAAACACGTCACTGACCGCATCATGCGGATACTTTCCTTCTACTGGAGTCAGTTGCTTAGACTTGATTCAGTATTAATTATTAACATCACTATATTGCTAATGTCTATCCCTTCAAGAAATATGTATTGATACAGCGAAGGGTTCTTGATCCAAGAAGTAGAAACTACTCTCAATTTCAATGGACCAAATCTCACTCCCTCCATTTTTCCCTACTACAGAATAACCCATTATGGATTTTGGGCTTCCTCGTAAATATTTAAATTACTAACTTTGCACCTTGAAGCATCATCGTGGTAGAGTGAATATTACTGGAACTCAAACAGAAACTGTCAAGTAAAGACTGGTGAAAGTCTCCTTGAAGAACTAGAGTTTAAAGTAAGAAACGTGCAGGAAACACAAGCATATACCCTAGAAAGATTCTACTACCAACCTGGGTGCCTATGGCAGGCTTGGTGTCATTCTGCAGAATGTTTTGACGTGAGTCTCCCTCAGGTGGGTGTTGTGGGGTGGCCACACATTCAGCCTCAACATCTACATTCTTCTTATTGTTATCCATGTCATGTAAAGAGTAACTACAAGATTCCTCGTTCTTCCCGGACATATTATTACTTGCAGTTTGTGGTAAATTAAGAGTTCCTTCTTTTACGTCGTTCATCATCTTCTTGAAGTTTAATGTTTTCCTGGTGTGTTGATATAACTTCTGTGAAATTCATACAAGATGTGTATATTTTAAGAATTAATTCATATTTTTTTTTTTCAAATCTCGAAGTTTAGATGGTAAAAACTTGAAGAGGATTCAGTAATATATGTGAGTCTTTAATTTATATCCAGATATATTTCAAATATATGATTCGTGAGAGGTTCCTTTTTGTAATTTAGTATATTAGTAAGCTGAATCGTTAGTTGTCAGTCCACCCCTTAAATTTAACATGGTTTTGAAATTCCTTGAGTTAATATAATATTGATAGAATTAAATTTAAGAAAATTGAATGATAGCTGCATAAACAACCTTCCTTAGAGAAACTTGCTTTCAGACTGCTGACGATGGATTATATAAAAGCATGCTTAAGGTTCTCCTACTTTGAAATACCGGTGAAGACTGACTGATTGGAAACAATGTTACCTGACGCTCTCCTAGTTATATGATGACCAGCAACTGGAACTTTCGGTCATCTGACAGACCGTCTGTCACCTACTTTTTTTTTTTTACCAGCACTTGAAGAATTGCTACAGCACTTACAGCAATAGAAATTGAAGGAATCTTAAACTGATATTATATTATTCTTGCACTATAAAAATATTTTGTTGCACTATTGGTAATAAGCACTTTTGTTAATATTACTGGCTGGTGAAGCTCCTCCAGGAGGAACCATCACTACGACTGATGTTGACGGAGGCAGCGTCGACACTCACTGGTAGCTAGAGGGAAAAACAACATTGTGACCACGCATATAATGACGTCCCCAAAAACAATATTCGTTATGGAGTTTTTCTTGATTATCGTTCAGTTTCTTTCATTAGACAATGATTAACGAACAATTTTACTCAGTTTATTATTTTAATTCATTGTTCCAGGAAGTTATGTTGACTATTATTATTATTAGTTAGTTAGTTAAAGATTAGCCGGTATTCTCCCGGCCCGGGCCTTGTCCAAGTGGTGGCCCGGCCTTGGCTCCCTCTTTAGGGAGTGTCTGAGACCTAAGTCTCCCATGGGAGGAGGCACAAGTACCTCCTTATCTTTGGGACCAACTGTCCCCAGGCCTAGCCACAAGCTAGGCCTCTCTGGTCTGCCATCCCTGCCCCAAGGGAGCAAATGGGAATGACAGTCTTATGAGCTAAAGGCTCGGGCTCAGGCACCTACCCTACCCTAGAAGGGCTGGGCATGGTGTCGATCTAATTATTATTATTATTATTATTATTATTATTATTATTATTATTATTATTATTATTACTGTTTTTGTTATTATTATTATTATTGTTGTTATTATCGCTATAATTATGATTATTATCAGCATAATAATTCTTTCTATATTCACTATATGCACTAAAACCCGTTATTGGACATAATGACGCCGGAAAGATGCATAGAGACCACTTCTTCGTATAAATTTAATCAACAAATTCTCTTTAAAAATATATATTGTGGTCCTGTTGCTCCATGTTGCGTTATTGCTAAACTGGAAAGCAATGTTTTAACCCGTGCGAGTTTAGTACTTCCTTTTGAATAGGATAATGATTTTGATGTTAGTGTAAAGATGAGATGTGGCATCCCTCCATAAGATTCTCACTTCCTCCCTGATTCCATTCTCCCTTTTTTCCTCCATCCCTTCTGTTTTTAGTGGGAGAAAATATATATAAAAAGTCGTATCAACTTTGTTTTGAAAGCTTTTGTGTCGTTGACTATCATCGGATTTCTTAAATAATAGTGTTAAATATAAACAATGTGGAAACACTTATACAAACAATAGTAATTGAACCTTGGGCATCAATATGGCGTCTCAGCAGAATGACCGCAAGGATAAGATAAGATTTCGTTCGGATTTTTAATCCCCGGAGGATCAGCCACCTAGGATAACCCAAGAAAGTCAGTGCGTCATCGAGGACTGTCTAACTTATTTCCATTGGGGTCCTTAATCTTGTCCCCCAGGATGCGACCCACACCAGTCGACTAACACCCAGGTACCTATTTGCTGCTAGGTGAACATGACAACAGGTGTAAGGAAATGTGTCGAAATGTTTCCTACCCGCCGGGAATCGAACCCGGGCCCTCCGTGTGTGAAGCGGGAGCTTTAGCCACCAGGCCACCGGGCCACCAACGATGTTGATTTTCTATCTCAGTGTCGTACGGCCAAAGTTGTAAAGAAAAAGACACGTGTTGCAGAATAAGCTTTATATAGACAACGTTTCGATCTGTGTAACGCTTTATCAAGTCGCGACCTTGTTAAGATCTAAACAGATGGAAATGTAGACTGATAAAAGCATATTCTGCAACGAGTGTTTACATCAGCATCTGCTGCGGTTGTTCCTTGAGAATCATCACCAGCTGCACAACACTGGTGTTCTGTTTTCAACTGCCAGCAACTTCAACTGTGCCGGGCTAACATTTCACTCAAACTTTTTTTTTTTTTACCACAAGAGCCGTTTACCACAACGAAAGGGTGAGTCAGAGAAGCAAACTCATTCATCATAATTCGTTCTACAGCTGTGTTGCCAAAAGTTTGTAAACATCGGAGTTTAAATGACTTTCCAAACTGCAACATCTTCATCCCTCCTTCAGAGTGCAGGAACTTTAAGAGATTTCGTTCGGATTTTTAACCCCGGAGGGTTAGCCACCCAGGATAACCCAAGAAAGTCAGTGCGTCATCGAGGACTGTCTAACTTATTTCCATTGGGGTCCTTAATCTTGTCCCCCAGATACGACCCACACCAGTCGACTAACACCCAGGTACCTATTTGCTGCTAGGTGAACAGGACAACAGGTGTAAGGAAACGTGTCGAAATGTTTCCACCCGCCGGGAATCGAACCCGGGCCCTCCGTGTGTGAAGCTGGAGCTTTAGCCACCAGGCCACCGGGCCACCGCATATTTGTTACTATTACTATGTTCATGGGAGAAGTGCTGCACTGGTAGGGGTTATACAGTGACTAATGGAATGGGAGGCAACGAGGTTCGATCAAAGGAAGCGAAGGTTACGTTGAATTCTATGAATCAAGAGCCCCTCACGGGCATCAAAGACCCTCGCCTGGGAGATCACACTACAACAGTCTTGCTGCTTCCTGCATACCTGTTATCACTGACTGAGTAGCTTAACTGGCTACTCAGTACAGGACTGAGTATCCACCCTCTACCAATCCTGTCGTTGAAGAGTCCACTTAAGTTAGCCTAAACCAGAGGTTCCCAACCTGGGGTGCTGGCACCCCCAGGGGGGGAGCAGTCCTAATGAAAAGCACAATTCCGTTTATTTTACCATAAACTTTTCTAATTACTCAAATTACATTTACATTTTATGCATTGAATTAGTTCAATTTGTTCACCAGCAGTACTGTATTTGGTTCAGTTTGTGATTCAAAAATTAAAAATTTGACATCATCTTCAAATGTGATATTACCTTTGTAAGGGGTGCGACATTATTAAGGATTTCCTAGAGGTGCGGGACACCTGGAAACATCGGGAATGAACCTGGGCTAGACGATAGAGTCTGTTAATTTATGGACCGCGATTCGAATCTCCCACCAGCGTGGCCGTGACTAGCTCTAGCTTAAGTCCCCTCAAAACCGTCATCATGACTCACGAAATCGTCTGTAAAAACTTGCATTTGTGGTCACAGTGGTGCCTATGCTAACCTTCATATGGTGTATAAATATACCTAGTTGGACGAATCTTGTAGCCAGCTGGTCCAGTGGCTAACGCGTCAGTCTGGAGTTTTATGACTCTCTGACCGCGGATTCTAACCCGCCCGTGGTATGGTTTGTTTGTAATCGTGTCATTACGATTTCGTGTGTGCTATATATATATATATATATATATATATATATATATATATATATATATATTATATATATATATATATATAATATATATATATATATATATATATAATATATATATATATTATATATATATATATATAATATATATATAATATATATATATATGTCTTAACTGGTCCTCAGCGTTGACTATTCACAGGCTAACTGTTATCTGTTATCCACCTGGTGGGTTCACAGCACATTAACGGAGCTAATATGCTCGGATATTCTTGCTCTTTTAGTGTTTTGATTTTTGTTTTCTTGTCTCATTTTATTTCCTCTAATTTTCTAAGACAAACACAAATATCTATACACAACCCGCACATAGGAGAGAGAAGCTTATAATGACGTTTCGGTCCTGTGTGGACCATTTACAGGTTACACTAACACACGAAGATAAGGGAACCAGTGAATATAAGAAAGGGGAACACGTATGCATCTATTTAGACATTTAAAAATACTTAACAGTAAGTATTTTACAGATGTGAAGGAAAATGTTAAGTCTCAAATTCATATTTCACTATTCTTTTTATTCCTAAGGTTCTCTGTTACATTACATCAGAAATTAAATGTGAACAATGGATTTAATGATATGATAAAGATCTGAAAAGTTTTGTTCATAAATGAATAATAGCGAAAGAATAACAGCTGGTATATATTATAGTAAACATCCCATATATTCATGTATATATACAGTGGGAGGCTACGGCAGTGTTGTTGTTAATTTCAGAGTTTTGTTGTTTGGTGCCAATTGTTAATGAGATTTCCCGTAATCTCTTCCAGTGAGCGTCCACGAGTCTCTGGTAAAGCAACAGCGCTGACGAAGGTTATCACTGAACTGGCACCACTGAAGAGCCAGAAAGTCCCGTGTTCACCAAGTGCTTCTACTGTCATAGGATAAGTGTAAGTTGATACAAATGCTCCACACGCTAATGAAAAGGATAACATTGAACTTCCAATAGATCGGCAAGATATAGGCAAAAGTTCCCCACTCAGTATTAATAAAGCAGGCTGGCCAATGCCGAAAAAGAAGATAGACACCATTGTTGCTGTAAGTGGTATCCATCCCATATCACTAACATTTCCTGTCTTATGCATGTAAAAGTATGCACCATAAGTAACCATACATAACGAGCACAAAGAATAAGAAACTATGATCAGTGGTTTGCGTCCCAGACGGTCAATTACACAGACGTGAACTAAAGAACCAAAAATCCTAACAACGTAAAACATGATGGCACTGTTGTATGGATCAAGGGTGGAGTCCATTGCCTGGAAAATAGGCACTAAATATGCCATTATTATATGACACCCATTCACACTTACCATGAGATATAAAACAATCAATAACAAGAACATACGAGCAGTTGATGGCTCAAACAGCAGCTGCATTTGTTGCCATGAACTGTTCAATTTCTTATCTACATTGCTAATTTGTTGAGTGATATCCTGTAATTCTGGCTCAGAGTCATAATGTTTACCTCTAAAAAAAACAAGAGCTTTCTGAGCTTCGCTAAGACGACCTTGAGTGACGAGCCAACGAGGAGAGTTAGGCAGTAAGATGAGGCAAAAGAAAGAAAGTGCAGGCACTCCGCAACAAACGAAGCCAATTTGTCGCCAGTCGAGCTTAGAAACTCCTAGAGAAGACACCATTAGAAGTCCCATTAACCTAGTTAAGTTAAGGATTCCAGAAAGAATTCCACGAATGTTCTTATGAGCAATTTCGATGATGTACAGGAAAGTAGAGGTAAGGATGATACCTCCGGTGATACCCAGAATTGTGCGACTAGTTAAGAGCAGCCAGACAGTTGGAGAAAGAGCGAGGCTCAGCCATGAAGCCGCAGTGATGGGCAGGGTCACCAGGAGAGTCACTCGACGACCAAGTTTCACTACTAGTGGTCCACTCACACAAAACCCAACAGCTTCTCCCAGGTATCCAAGGCTTCCTGAAATGAAGAGTTTTAAGGATATTACCACTTAAATATACCGAACTTCACAAGACGTGCTTTAGAAAATACTGACAGTAGTTTCTGAAAACATCAGAGCGATTACGTAGAGTATATGTCAACACTTTTTCCTATTTCTGGAGAGTATTTTTTATTTTTAATTGTCAATGAGAATTGACAATGAGAATGAAGTGGTAGAGGCAATATCTGTACAAAGCTTTAAGAAAAGGTACAACAAGGCTATCGAAGCTCAGAGACAGTGAACTTAGCAGCGACCAGGAAAGAGATGGGACCAGGAGCTGAAGCACAACCCTTGCAACCACATACAGGTGAGCACACGCACACACACAACCTTCAACACATCCCTTGAAACTGGGCAACTACCTGAGGTATGGAAGACGGCAAATGTGATCCCCATCTCTAAGAAAGGGGACAGAAACGAAGCACTAAACTATAGTCCAGTGCCATTGACGTGTATAGTATGCAAAGTCATGGAGAAGATTATCAGGAGGAGAGTGATGGAGCACCTGGAGTGGAACAAGGTTATGAACGACAGCCAGCACGGATTCATGAAAGGCAAATCCTGTCACAAACCTAATGGAGTTTTATGACAAGGTAAATGAAGTAAGACATGAGAGGGAGGGGTGGGTCGATTGCATTTTCTTGGACTGCAAGAAGGCCTTCGACATAGTTCCTCACAAGAGATTAGTGCAAGAAGCTAGAGGATCAGGCATGTATAACAGGAAGGGCACTGCAATGGATCAGAGAATACCTGACAGGGAGGCAACAGCGAGTCATGGTACGTGATGAGGTATTACAGTGAGCGCCTGTGACGAGTGGGGTCCAACAGGGGTCAGTCGTGGGACCAGTGCTATTCTTGGTATATGTGAATGACATGACTGAAGGGACAGAGTCAGAAGTGTCCTTATTTCCAGATGATGTGAAGTTAATGAGGAGAATTAAATCAGATGCGGACCACACAGGTCTACAAAGAGACCTGGACAGGCTGGACGCGTGGTCCTGCAACTGGTTCCTAGAATTTAACCCTGCCAAATGCAAAGTCATGGAGATCGGGGAAGGGCAAAGAAGACCGCAGACAGAGCATAAGCTAGGTGGCCAAAGACCGCAAACCTCACTCAAGGAGAAAGATCTTGGGGTGAGTATAACACCGAGCACGTCGTCGGAAGCCCACATTAACCAAATAACTGTTGCGGCATATGGGCGCCTGGCAAACTTGAGAATAGCGTTCCGATACCTCAGTAAGGAATCGTTCAAGACACTGTACACTGTGTACGTCAGGCCCATACTGGAGTATGCAGCACCAGTTTGGAACCCACACCTGGTCAAGCACGTCAAGAAATCAGAGAAAGTGCAAAGGTTTGCAACAAGGCTAGTTCCAGAGCTAAGGGGAATGTCCTACGAAGAAAGGTTAAGGGAAATCAGTCTGACGACAAAGGAGAATAGGAGGGTCAGGGGTGACATGAAAACGACATACAAAATACTGCGTGGAATGGATGAGGTGGACAGAGACAGGATGTTCCAGAGATGGGACACAGAAACAAGAGGTCACAATTGGAAGCTGAAGATTCAAATGAGCCAAAGGGATGTTAGGAAGTATTTCTTCCGCCACAGAGTTGTTAGGAAGTGGAATAGTCTGGCTAGTGATGTAGTGGAGGCAGGAACCATGAATAGTTTTAAGACCAGGCGTGATTAAGCTCATGGAGCAGGGAGAGAGAGGACCCAGTAGCGGTCACTGAAGAGGCAGGGCCAGGAGTTGAGTCTCGACCCCTGCAACCACGATTAGGTGAGTACAATTAGGTGAGTACATACACACATTCATACACAGAGTTACGGAAATTGTTCAAGATATGGATGAACAAATTGTATTTACCTAGGTTTAAGAAAGTTTTTTTTTTCACAAATCAATTTTACAAGCTATGATCTGACATCGTACCTCAGCTTAATTTAAATTCAAGCCCTGACTACAGTATGCTGCTTCCACCTGGGATGCCTCCCACAGCAGTTAACTAACACCCAGGTACCTACTTACTGCTAGGTGAAGAGGGGCAGCAGTTGTAAGGAAATATGCCCATCGTTTCTACCCGTCCCTGGGATTGAACCACAGACTCTCGGTATGTAAATTGACTGCGCTACCAACTTACCCACTGGCACTGTTCTGATGGACTTCTCCGTTACAGACTAATTTGGAAATTGATAAATATAGGAGAAATTAAAAGTTAAGTATTACAGTGCACGAGAGACTTTTTTGCTTGTGAGGAAAATATCAACAGTTAAAAACAGGAAAAATATCTTCTTGGGGAGACGTCACAAGTGGGGTACCACAAGGATCTGTACTTGTCCAATAATATTTCTAATTTATATAAATAATTAATCAGAAGGGGTAATATTTTCTGAATATTTTTGCAAATGATGCAAAATCTTAAGTAAAAATAATTAATAATGAAAATGACTAAATCTTCATAAAATGATACACTGAGGGCGTGAAATTATGTAGATAAATGCCATATAGTGGGACCGGGAAAAAGTTAAACCAAGCCACATGAAGAATATACACCGTGACAAAAAAAATTTATTGAAAGTATCAAATGAAGAAATGAATCTAAGAGTTATCATATAAATGAAATTGTGGGAAATTTTATAATAAATTTTCAAATGTGTGGCTGGAGAAAAGTTAAGAAAGTTATTAATAACTTTTATTACTGAAAAAAATATTGTGTGGTGTCCACACCTGAAAAAAAGACGTAGATAAGTTAGAAAATGTTCAAAGAAAAGCTACTAAATGGCTGCCAGATTAGAGCAATATGAATTATGATGGAAAGTTGAAAACTTTATGGACGTAAATGTTAGCTGATCGGAGGAAAAGAGAAGAAATAACCTCTTATAATGTCTTGAAAGAGCAGATGAAAATGTCTTAGTTCCTGCAACAATGATAACAAGAGGCAACCGTTGAAGAAAAAGTGGAGTGCAATGATAAGTAGAAAAGAAATTTTCTTGAGTAGCTGACAAGTGTAATGCAATGAAATAGGAATTGGTAAGTGCTGCAACCATAAGAAATTTTAAAAATTGTAACATAAGCAGAGCATTGAAGACGGGACACTATGAGCGTAACTCTGTTCCTGTAGCTACAGGCAAGTAATTACATACGTACACACAGCGAAGAGGCGGCCCCAGGAACAATCCCTCGACCCCTGTAACCTCGTATAGGTAAATACAAACACACATACACACAAAACCCGTTTTACCTTCTTGACCCATGGGCAAGGACCAAGAATTCAGGAACCTATAAACCAGGACACAGACACAGTAACAGAGGAAGCTGAAGGTGTGGTGCACCAATGCAGATGGAATAACATAAGAAATAAGAGTGAGGAGTGGCATGAACGAATCATGGAGGCATCCCCAGATGTGGGAATTCAGAGAAGTCAACTGACTTCCCGTAACCGTTAGGGAAAAGATGGAGGGAGGGGGATTGAGGCATGAACGTCGAGATAGGCAGCCACAGTATTCCTACTCGACATTTCCATTTCCACTCTCAGTTTATAAGACTCATTTACTAATGAAACCTCTACAGGCTAAGCTAGACTTACAGTGATTTAGTTTAGCACCTACAATTATCTTTCACAGCTTACCCAGGCTGACAACAAGGAACATTTAACCAGGCACCCACGAAGGTACACCTACCCACGCCGAGTACCCACGCTTTAGTCATTAAATGGATACACGTGTGTAAAGAGGCGAGTGAACAGACTTTGCCTAATTAAGCCGATCTATTAACTACCTAGTTAGGGAGCTACTTACACGCACTTGACTAGTGCCGTGAAGTTCTTTAACATTCGTTAAGACATTGCAATGAAAATTAGATCACATTTCAAGGCATCAGACGGTATCTTCGTTTCCACAAAACTGGTTGCAGATCCGAGACTCATTACATGTGTTTCAGGTGTTCCTACTGAAGCAAGATAGACCCCCACACTGAACGACGATAAGTACCTATTAACAATATCCTTAAATGCGCATTTTTTGTATATTGTGGGGGATGACTAGTGTGAAGGGTCTCTCATCATCCTCCAGCTCACCAGAGATGCATTTTCAACTGACTTATACTGCCCTGATGTAGAAATCGAGGTAAAATTCAGTTTCAAAAATGGGATGGCAGGTTTCTTGGGCTGATTTCCAAGAACGGCTTGAATGGATCACTAACCAATCAGTCATACATTCGCTGCCTGACCACGGTTGAGTGCGGTTGTGCTCTGCACCCCTCTGCAGTTTTCAGGCGAGCTACCTAGTACCAACATGGCGCAGAGTGTGAGGCGCCGCGTGAATAACATCGGCATAGAACTGCTTCGTGGGGCAATTTCACCCACTTCAGCGCAGGTGTTACTCCCGACCATCATCAGGGAGACGTATGGGATCCAGGACGATGGAGTTTATGGTGTTGCCCTGAATGGTGCATATAGGATCTTCGTTAAACTGAATTCCACATCTGTGTACGAGTCATTGGTGCATAGATTTCAAGACGTGAGTCTTGATGCTACTCCAGCTCTGAAGGTGCGTTTGATTGACGTATCCCTCCACTTCACGTGGGTCAAGCTCTGTAATGTACCATTCGAGGTGGATGAGGCTGACATACGACGTGTTTTTGAGGCGTATGGAACCGTACATCTGGCACAGCAAGGCAAGTGGGCGGCAGGTGCTTATATGGGCCGTCTAGAGGGAACATTTATCCTGAAGATGACCCTACGACATTCCATACCGTCTTATGTTATACTGGAGGACTTTAGAACACAGGTTTTTGTAACATATGCTGGACAGAGATGTACGTGCAGATTATGTGGAGCGTACGATCATTTGCCAGCTGTGTGTGTGAAGCAGCGGCGGGTGCCTGCACAAACTAGTGCAGCACCTGTTACCAATGTGGACACTGTTGCTATGAGCCCCACGCACAAGCACGAGTGTGGGCGATTGTGGAGTGAGATGGTAGAGTCCCACGAGCAGCCTGGCGTGTGTGAGGCAAGCTGTGTCCCACCAGAAACCGATGTTTTGAAGGGGCCGAGTACAGAAGTGTGTGCAGGAGGAGGTAAAGGCGATTGAGGAAGAGCTTGTGGAGGTTACAGGGTTGTTATACGAGGGGGGGGGTGGCAGGCACTTATCCTATGGATGATATAATGGCAATTAAAGGGAGGCTGCGTAAGGTACAGGATGAGAGGTTCCAAGCAGTGCGGGCACAGGCGAGGGTGGAGGAGGTGTTATGGGGAGATGGACCTTCATCGTGCGTATTGCGTAGACAAAAACAAAGACAGCAGGCAATGGCTATTCCATGGTTGGAGGTTCATGAGTCGATAGTGGGGTACAGGGAGGGGCAGGTCATACAAGCTACGGAAGGAATGGGGGCATTTGCGGATAAGTGGTATGAGAAGTACTGGCAACGAGAAAGGGTAGAGGAGGGGGTTTTAGAACAGGTGTGTGGGAGTGTGGTATGTCAGTTGTGCAACAGTGAGAGGGAAGCACTGGGTGGGGAAATAATTGAGGGGGAAATATGGAGGGCTTTAAGTGGAATGCGAAAGGGCAAAGCACCGGGAATTGATGGACTCCCAGCAGAGTTTTATCAGCAGCATTGGGAACTAATGAAGCATTTTTTGGTTAGGTTATTAAATTGCATGAAGGAGAGAGGTGAACTGGGTGAGAAGCAGGCAACGGCTGTCGTTGTATTGGTACCGAAGGGTAAGGGGCAGCATACGCTTCGGGATTACCGGACAATCTCGTTGTTATGCGCAGAAAAGGCTACAAATGAATCTGGACAGGCTGCAAACCTGGTCTGACAAATGGGTCCTGGAGTTTAACCCCACCAAGTACAAAGTTATAAAGCTTCGGGAAAGACAAAGAAGACCACAGATGAAGTACAGGCTTGGGAGAAAAAGGATGCAAATCTCACTCAAGGAGGACCTTGGAGTATCGTACCGAGCATATCCTCCTGAGGCGCACATCAACCAAATACCTGCTGCAGTAAATGCACTACTGGTAAATTTAATAACTTTATGACATCTAAGTAATGAATCATTCACGGCACTGTACACAGTGTATGTCAGGTCCATATTGAAGTATGCAGCGGACGCATGGAACCCACACCTAATCTAGCATATTAAGGAACTGGAAAAAGTGCAGAGGTTAGCGACAAGACAAGCCTCAGAGATAAGGAGTATGCCCTTTGAAAAGAGGTTAAGGGAACATGATCCAGTATGTTAGAGCTTCCCCGCCTTCCTTGTTTACCTACCAATCCCCAGGCACTGTATGACCATTATGTATTCAGCGTTTCCCCGTGAGAATAATACTGATAGTACATACCAAAGAAGGCTGTTTGTGACTGGTTTAGGAAGAGATCTTTTGTCTGCGGGTCAGTGAACTGTGGCAGCGTGATGCCCGAGAATGCCAGAAGAGTGCCATGTCCTACTTGCACAAGTGCCATTACCAGTGTTCCAAACACCTGTGGGAAGACACACGTACTATTGATACTTATATAGAAACTTGTTTATTCTAACTCCTTACATCATAAGTTCTGCAAAAAAAAAAAATGTCGTCGTACTTGACAATATTGAGAACTATTGTTTTATGTAAAATAATAATCAGCCAGACACTGAACAGACAGAAATTTTAATAATTTACTGAACAGATCTCAGCTGACGAACACACACGAAGACAGTTCAGTAGCATTCAAATATTTGAACCTTTTAACTTCTGTTTTAAAAGAGGTTCCAAACCTCTTAGTATATGCAGCAATGTTTGTACATGCGCAGTATCCTCAATGCAACAACGGCTGCATCACGTTCTGTTATTTTTACATTTATCAAGGCCACTGAAGACGTGATGGGCAATATATGGGTGTTTGATATATTTCTCATCTTCAAGGGGGTGGCTATCTGCTGGTTAAGGGCTCTTGATCCAAGGAATTTTAGCTACCTTCCCACTTAATTGGATCAAGATTCTCCTTGTTTTTCAAACAAACAACTTATAAACTCCCACTTCACTAACTCACACTTCCAGAGGCATAGTTTCCAGGGCAAGTCTATATGCAGAAAATATTGGTAATATCCCTTAAGATGGTTAAAATAACGAAGGTCGACCCCTGGTTTTTGGGCGGCATATCCCGGCCTCCAAGACCAGATTCCATCAGGAATCCCCAAGATTGTGTGTGATGCGCACTTACTGAGGCAAAGCCGACCTCCTCCGAGAGCCCTCACCGGTGGGTGAGTGGGCACTGCGCACCTACTGCGGGCCGTCAAGCCTCACAGGCATGCCATTTCTGAAGGTACACCGTACAGACATGCCATTTCCAAACGAACACTTCACTGACTGCATCATACAGACACTTTTCTTCTACTGGAGTCAGTTGCTCAGACTTGATTAAGAATACTTTTCATAACATTTTGTTGCCAAATTTTCAAGTTTGTATATTCAACTCCAATTTTTATATTATCCTTTGTACCTGTGTACCTGTGTACCTGTGTACCTGTGTACCTGTGTACCTGTCTACCATCTTACTATCATATTATAACCAAGTCATTGCCATTGTTATTTTTTACTTATTATTCTTTTGGTATTTTAATTTGTGAATTTTATTTTGTCAATTTAAATTTAGTTATACTCTTGATCTTGTTAACAACCTATACCAGACCCTAGTGCAATTGTTCTTGTTAACAACCTATATCAGACCCTAGTGCAATTGCAAGTACCATTTTAATTTGTATTTTTATATTATAAGTTTATACTTAGTTGTACTTTAGCTCATTCTAGCTCAATACATAGACAACACCTAAACTAACTATACCTAGTTGTACTTTAGCCTTTCTAGCTCAATACATAGACAACACTAAATTCATTTTATTAGACCTTAGTGCAATTACAAGAGTGAGTCTGGTGCCACTTGTAATTTTTTTTTATAGTATTAGTTTATACCTAGTTGTACTTTAGCTCATTCTAGCACAACACATTGACAATATCAATTTCATTATGTTTATTAGTGACTATACTCTATATGACCAAAGTGCTTTAGCGGTATACTTATCCAAACCTCCCACCACTACAGAATTCAGTATTAGAACTCACCACATAATACAGGATATAAACAACCATTATTTAAACCTAAAAGATGAATGATCACGTTGACCCTGATCTAAACCTCCATAATCTAACACACAATCAAAACTTATTGGAAAGTAACTACGACAAGGTCCTAAATGCACTAGAAGACAAAAAGAATGCAGATGTAATATATACAGACTTTGCAAAAGCCTTCGACAAGTGTGACCATGGCGTAATAGCGCACAAAATGCGCGCTAAAGGAATAACAGGAAAAGTCGGTCGATGGATCTATAATTTCCTCACTAACAGAACACAGAGTAGTCGTCAACAGAGTAAAGTCCGAGGCAGCTACGGTGAAAAGCTCTGTTCCACAAGGCACAGTACTAGCTCCCATCTTGTTCCTCATCCTCATATCCGACATAGACAAGGATGTCAGCCACAGCACGTGTCTTCCTTTGCAGATGACACCCGAATCTGCATGACAGTGTCTTCCATTGCAGACACTGCAAGGCTCCAGGCGGACATCAACCCAAATCTTTCAGTGGGCTGCAGAAAACAATATGAAGTTCAACGATGAGAAATTTCAATTACTCAGATATGGTAAACATGAGGAAATTAAATCTTCATCAGAGTACAAAAACAAATTCTGGACACAAAATAGAGCGAAACACCAACGTCAAAGACCTAGGAGAGATTATGTCGAGATCTCACCTTCAAGGACCATAAACATTGTAACAATCGCATCTGCTCGAAAAATGACAGATGGATAATGAGAACCTTCAAAACTAGGGAGCCAAGCCCATGATGACACTCTTCAGGTCACTTGTTCTATCTAAGGCTGGAATATTGCTGCACTCTAACAGCACCTTTCAAGGCAGGTGAAAATTGCCGACCTAGAAAATGTACAGAGAACTTTCACGGCGCCGCATAACGAGATAAAACACCTCAATTACTGGGAGCGTTTGAGTGTTTCTAAACCTGTATTCCCTGACGCAGGATGGAGAGATACATGATTATATACACTGGAAAATCCTAAGGACTAGTACCGAACCTTGCCAGCGAAAATCACTCACTACGAAAGCAAAGGACTTGGCAGAAACGATGTCACCATCCCCCAAAGAAAAGCAGGGGTGTCCACTAGCAACGTTAAGAGACCATACAATAAGTGTCAGGGGCCCGAGACTGTTCAACTGCCTCCCAGCACACATAAGGGGGATTACCAACAGACCCCTGGCAGTCTTCAAGCTGGCACTGGACAAGCACCTAAAGTCAGTTCCTGACAAGCCGGGCTGTGGCTCGTACGTTGGTTTGCGTGCAGCCAGCAGCAACAGCCTGGTTGATCAGGCGCTGATCCACCAGGAGGCCTGGTCACAGACCGGGCCGCGGGGGCATTGACCCCCGAAACTCTCTCCAGGTAATTACACAGCATCACAAGCCAGCACTATCCTGAACACTGCTCAAAGTCTATCAGGTCTTAACTACAACATCAGGTCCTTAAGCAACACTATGATGACCTCCTGGCACTCCTTGAATCACTAAAGACACCCTTCTCCTGCATTATTCTTACTGAGACCTGGCTTAAGTAGGACACAATTGATATCTACCCCACTACCAGGATGTACACAGCAATCACAACAGGCAGACCAACCAAGTGTGGGTGGTACTGCTAATCTATTACTTAACCACTAATGTATTAGCACTTAATTGCTTAGTGATGAATATAGGGGAATACATTTTTGGGGGGCTATATTGGTTACTGTAAAAAAACCTCAAAGACGCCTAAACAATCGGTGCCATAACCGGATACTCCCACACAAACCATCCCAAAATTCGTGAGAAAATAAAGTCCTATAACAACAGACAATGAACAAGCACCACCTTCTCTTAGCTGGAGACTTCAATATCAACCTTGGCCTACCAGATGATCAGCCTGTTACTGATTTCAATCAACAATTGATCAACACACTCCTCCATACAACAATAACTAAAACAACCAGGCTGACTGAGACAAGTGCACCATAAAAACCGCATATGGACCAATATACTAGCCCCCCTTAACTCCGGATAATCACAGACAGCATACTACTGACCACTACCCAAACCTTCCTCTAAAACATTAGTAAGCCACGCCACTCGAATACAACAAATTTCATTTAGACTCCATTGACGAGGCCTCAATAAGGAATTTCACAGCAGACCTAGAGACTGTTGACTGCCTACAGAATTCTCCAATGCCACTGGTATTGACAATTGGACAGACATTTTTCTTAACAAAATACTTAGACTATACAACAAACATTGTCCTATAAAACAAAACAGATCCACGATAAACGCTTGGTTGCCCATGGCTAAACCAGCAGCATTCCTGAAATCCATTGAAAAGAAACACCATATGAAAAGCAATATAGACAGGCTTAATTACACAAAGATATTCTTAAACAATATTCAATAGGTTCTCATCACCCAATTAATAAAGAAAGACCAAAACAACTGTACTACTCCGCAGATTCACTGACACAAGAGGAGATATAAAATACCTGGAAAACCACTTTCCCAGATTCTGAGGACCCACAAACTGAAAAAAAAACAAGAATATTGTTCTAGACTAAAGCTCGTGAAACACCACCTACATCCCACTGATACAGCTAACAAATAAACAACTTTCTTCTCAAACATAGATCTAATCTCACCATAGTAAAATCACTCAATGTACCAATGCCGTGCCGAGAAACTACCTAATGGGAATTCCAAATCTTCTATCATTGTACCAACTGAGCCCACGGAAGTCACCGCGATCATAAAAGTCACTTTAAAAATAACTCGGGGAATCTGCCCTCACGTTCCCACCATTTATTGTACTAAGCGAGCGATCACCCTGTCCTTTCACCATGCTATTACATTCCTTTTTAACAAGTCACTAGATACACACTTTCCCGACACTACTCAAGACAGCAAAGTTACACCAATACCATAAAGGTGGTGACCCTAACCATACGTAAACAACTATAGCCCCAATATCAAACTTACCATTGCTATCCAAAATCTCGAGAAACTCGTCACAGGAGACTAATATTCATTTTATACCGTCACAAAACATTACTCAACCCCCTGCCAATTTGATTCAGGAAAAAATAAAAGCACCAATGATCCAATTATAAAAAATGCTAGACCTGCTTTACACAGCATGGAAACTAAGGAATTCCACTTAGGAATTTTTTATTGAGCGCCTAAGAAAAGCGTTTGACACTGTAGACCACGCATCCTACACCCACAAACTGACCACTATGGTATAAGAGGCCATGCGGCTTGCATGTTTTAAATCCACTACCTTTCTAATAGGTATCAGTATGCAGCCCCCGCCCCGCCATTAAAGACAAGTAGCCTCATCAATAACTGCTACTGGGGATACTGGAGTTCTGCAGGGAATGTCCTTGGACCCTGCCTCCCCATTTACATCAATGATTTTCCAAACATATCCCAATACCCTGAAACCGCATTCTCTTTGCTGCACGACATCTACTTATTCATCTCCCACACCTAATTCTTGCCATCCTCAACACCATTGTTAGCGAGAGACTGCTCAAAATATCGACTTGGATGACAGCCAATAAACTTACTGGCAAAACCTACTATATTATGAGTTTGGAGCAGAGCAAGGCGTTGCGCAACTTAACATTAAGAATCGACACACTCTAATTGCCAGACATAATGAGGGCAAAATTCCTTGCCTATACCTCGACAACAACCTAAAATTTCATCAGCACCCATATCCAACACATAACAAAAAAAGTATCCAAAAAACGGTGGGGATCCTCTCCAAGTACGATACTCGTCCCCGCAAACTGCACTTCTCACATTCCCTTCATTTTTATCCATACCTATCTATGCATCTGTGTTTGGGGGTTCAATTTCCAAAACACTAAAGCCAAATAACCCAAAAAAAAGCCGCGTGAAAATAATCACAAAATCCCTCCTGGAAAACCCCCCCCCCCCACTCTTCTATATTAAACTTACTCTCTGTTCAGTAATCCACACTTACTACTGGAATCTTTATCTACAGGACCTTAAACCCAATAAAAACCTTTGACCTAAAATGCTTTCTTGATGTTTTGACGGATCCACGGCATAACCCAGACCAAACATCTTTGACATTCCCCATGTTCGACAAAAACCCTTTAAAAAAATTCAAGTATTT